TGAACCGTGGTTCGTTGATTTTATTAATAGTGGATCAGACTTTTGTGCTATATCTGACGGAAACAATTGATTGTTTTCCCGAGATACAAATCCAGGACCTCTCGCCTTTATCGTTTAAACATTTAGCTAAAGAGACGGTTCTTAAGTATTATATACTTAAGCGGTATTGTAAAACGACTTAAAATATACGCGGATAAAACGAAAAACCGTTTGATTTATGCGGTCTACAGTCAGCTGTCATTGATCGATAGTTTGGAATTGAAATCTTAACTGTGGTAACATCTGTGTACCTGACCGCGAATGCTGAGTAAAAATAGACGAACCAGTCACATTAATTTTATGAATAAAAAATACATTTTTTTATGATAGAGAAGGAGTATGATTTATTGAATAATTTATTTTTTTATGATAGAAAAACACACAAGCAAGAGGTTTACTTGATGGTTCACCTCAGCCCCAGCCAGCAATTTTGGCTTTGGATATTCGGAAATCATCTGTGGCCAAATAGTTAAAAGCATTGCCTAACCTTGCGTTAAGCACGAGAGGTCCTGGGTTTGAATCCCAAGGAAACAAAAAATTGTTTCGGTCGGGAAGGGCACAGAAATCTGATCAACTACTTGCCCCTTAAAAGAACGGCTCTGTGAAACGGAGACAGAAATGTGTTCACTCCATGCCCCACGAGGGGGAAACGAGATTTCACATCATCTGTGGACGATGTTTGGTTTTATTTAATTTCCACACTACGTATTGAAATATATAATAGGGCAGGTACAATTTGGAATTTGTTTTTTTTGTTTATATTCTTTTATCATTATAATTGGAACTTTGGTGGTCGAATGTTTGTTTTATGCAATATATGCTATATTTTCTTTATTATTAAGGACATTTCGAAACATCCAAGACTAATGACCATTATATAACATTTGAAAACTTTATTATTTTTTACATGTTATTGCACATGAAGGCACTATATAATTTTTCGACTCGGGCAGGACTTGAACAGGCATCGTCAGCGATCCGTGCTGTTGTCTACCAATTGAGTTACCGAGTCGAGTTGGTAGAGCAATTTATTTTCGATTTTTACATTATATAACACTTATACGAAACTTAAAACTTTAAAAACTCCGTATTAAATCTTTTCCGCAAGATAGATTGATGTATTTCCCTGCAAAGTTGTAAAGGAAAAAGTTCGGGTTGCAAAAAAAGCAAGCTTCCTACAAGATTGAGTTTGCGTATCTTACGCGACGAGATACAGATAAGTTTACAGTAAACATACCTTTACAGTTACTAGATTTATATTTACAACTGTTGTAAACAGCTCCATCTTAATGCAAGTCTAAAGTTTAGAGATTGTTGCCCGACTACGACAAAACTAAAAGGAATGGCATTTTGGCAAGAGATTTGACAGTTCATGCAAATACAGACTGCATCTGTTTTTAAAGAAAAAAGTCACAATTTTTTTGTAGGTTACGCGAGGAGAACACCTTTAATTAAAACACGTTAAACGGTTTAAAACGTCTCCCCGTTGTCAACGATGCTTCAAAACATTCAAAACGTCGAGCCATAGTGAGCATAAACAAAAAATAAGTTAACTAATATGTTTCACGTTTCAAACAGTTTTATTTTCCTATAAAATATAGTCGTGCAGTTCGCCAGTATCATTAATTAACTTTACTTTTTAACTTTCTTTCTATGGCATTAATCCGACAAGCAAAGATTTACTTGATGGAAATTGATAAGCCCCAGTTATATCATTTGAACAAGATGCGATCTATTATAGTTTTAGATATAACGGTATGAAATCCAAAACCTGGATTTACATTATACGGCTTTTAATTTGTAGACAATCCATGATGTTTCAGACACGCCGCTAATTACACTTCACCATTGATCAACGAGACGTAACTGATCATGTACGGGAAAAGAATAAAATCTTCTGGTAGGTAAAGGTCAAATAGGCGGATGAAGGATTCAAAACATTACCCCTTATTTCCCAGGCGACGCCACGTAAAATTGATCAACGTAATGAAAATTAGACACAATTTGGGTTATCAAGGGGTAGCTTCGAGTCAATTCGTCCGAGGACAAGAGGTTCAAATTGAAAGATTGATAAAGTGCTCCGTTCGTGCGCCTTTTCTCTTCAATTTACACCGAGTAAAAAGTAAATTAAATTAATGGATGGGCCAATGCAGTGGTGTGGGAGCTGCAAAGAATTGAGGCGCTTTTATTTTTAGATTCAACGATTACACTGAAAATACTGGAAAGAATGGCGATATTATTAAAACAATATCAGGTGGACTTAAGATGGCGGGTGTCCCTAATATCGATGTCAAATCTGCTACGCTAGCGCCATTTTCAGTCCCCACTTTAACCAAAGGTCAAGTTGTGTATCTCAACTAGATAACATAAATTAAAAATAAGTTTAATATTTTTATTTACAAATACTGTAGTAATGCATGTGATACGTATAAAAATACTAATTTTTGTCTCTAATAAATTTATAATATTCTAAAGCGTGTTAGACTTCGTCTAGAAATCTGTATAATAAACAGGTGGTAGAAATATCGATATTCCGTCACGAAACACTGTCAATAGATGAAAAAGTCATAAATTTTAATCGCGTTTCGGTTTCACTTTGTGGATTTCCGAATATCCAAAGCCAAAATCGCTCGACAGCACAACTTGTTTCAATATTTTATAGCTGGGGTATTTCACAAAGTACGCCATATGCTTGTCTGTTCTAGTAAGTCATTAAAAAAATACTTGAAGTTAAATTGTCAATAAACTCGATGCGATACTAAGCTCAACGCAACAAGAGAGTTGCTAGTCTAATACATTAATGCAATTAATTCCTTTGATCTCAAGTCTAATGCCGCCTCCACAGCACTAAGTTCTTTGTGCTATCAGTGATAGCCGCGACACTGATCGATGTTTCCCTGAAATCTTACAGCTGATGGATGACTCTCTCCACCTTTATATTTGAGCTACAAAAATTGTATATTTGTCCACTATATCCACAACACTTGAATTTCTTTTATTGTCAGACTTTCAATTGTAGACTACTTCTGAGACTTATGTTGCATTTTTTCATAGATAATAAATGTTTTTTTTTTATTGCATTATAAGGATTGGACATCATCTTGTTGTTAGTTTGTTAACTACATAATTCTTTGTGTGTAATTGTGAACCAATTCTGGAACAAAAGAAGCATTTTCTAATAAATAATAAATTCCTAATTTTAATTTTATCGTAATAACAGTGCAGGGCATCATCTTGTTGTTAGTTTGTTAACTATGTATTTTTGCTATAGTTTATATAAATATATAATTTTGTTGAAAGTCTTAAACAAAAAAGGGGTGAGAGATAAAGCATGGAGTAGACTGAGTTGCGGAGAATTAACGAGATAAATCCTTCTATTTTCTTTCAGCCGCGATTGTGTATTCGACATCAAGAACGCTATCCGAGGTTCTAAAGGAACAGCGTCAATATTTGCCATATTGAAACTTTCCCACGATATAAAGTTTTTATTCGAAGATCAATACATAGAACCGCTGTAAAGTTTTATTGAAATCCCAGGTTACAATTGCCAATTGACATCTTTGGCGTTCATAATATTTAGTTTTTTACAAGAAAACCTAGTAATGTGTTATATAGAATACTTTGTATTAGTACTATAGTTTTTTTTGACGTGGTTTATAAACGGTTAATGCAAACGTTTCAAAATCGCGTTATACTTTAGTGTGTATTCTAGTACTAAGTAGTTTTATTAGAACTTTTAAAGGAAGCAAAAAAATTTAAAAAAATACAAAAAAATTTTTTGCATGTTGTTTGCCCCCCCCCGGGGGGGGGGCGACCGCACTGCCCCTCTATCGTCGAATAAGATACACATTTTTATTTTAACTTCGTGAAATCTGTTGAATGGAATGTCCGATTTCAATAATTAAAAAAGTAATCATCAAGGTATTGAGACAGTCTTGAATATAAAATTATTTATTCGAATATAAATTTATAAATGGTACGGATAACACGGTCTGACTTTGATCGGCACTTCTATTAATTTGTTAAATGTAAAAAAGTAGTTATAGCGACGTAACTACAACAGTCGAACATATGATAAGCTCTATATTTTGTATATATTGATATATTCTATAATATTGTCGAACATTTTTTTGTCGTATCATTAAACTTTTCGCAGCGTATGGGAAGAAAGACATTTTTCGGCTAATTTTTTTACGCCTTCCGTTGGTTTTAGTAAGTTTTTCTAAAGATGCCTATAGTAATCAAGTACTTAATATAGCCTATGTTACTCAGTGATAATGAAGCTTTCTAATTTAAAAAAAATATTCAAATCGGTCCAGTACTTTTTGATTTTACCCATTACATACAAAAATACAAATCTTTCCTCTTTATAATATTAGTATAGATAAGCAAAAGATTCATTTCACGTTTTAAACTGTTAAAGTATCTTAAACTACAGCCAAAGTACCTGTCTGGACAAGGAAATATTGAACTGTGTTTACTTATATTAAATAAATTAAAGCAAACAATTAAGGTAAGATTAAAATTTTATTACGTATCAATTATTAGTCTTATACATCTGAATTATTAACATGAGTAAAATTTGAAGCATTTAACAATTATATATATGAAGGTTTCCTTTGTGACAAATAAACAAGCCACCATTTTGTCACCTTTATAAATGAGCGGCAAGAAAAAGTCTTACTGGCTACAAAGTTTTTTTTAAATTAATCGACATTACATAATTTTGCCGACTCTATTTTAACTCGTAGGTATAGTAGGTTATACCTGATTAAAGCAGGCAAGGTCTAGGATTTGAATCCCGAAGTTTAATTATACTTCAGTATTTACAATGTTTCTTACACGTCGTAGCACGTTAGGCTATCGTTCTCTGTTATCACAAATTTAGTGTGGATAGGCGTTATAGCGTGGTGGGTCATAGCTCTCTTCTGACAATGATTAGCAGAGCGTTATTGAAGGTTCTAAATCTGATATTCAGTATATTCCCAATTCCAAGTTTTAATAACACTGTTGTCGTACACTGGAGTCAATGGCGATTTAGAGCGATCTGAGATCTGAAATAAAATGTTTATGCAGTCTTCTATATCCCAAAATAACTGGATTTTGTTTGACGTTTAACATAATAAAGATTTACTATTTCTTATAGTAATACATAAGTGTTGTTCTCAATAGTTATTACGTCTCATGACAGTAAAGTAATTCCAAGATGGGTCGTTTTCTTTTCTTAACATTAACATTTTCCTTTTTCCTAGACAGTCATTGTATTGATAAGTTAAAAAATGATTAGAGAAACTATAATTAAAATCAGAATAGTCTTTATACGTGCGTCTCTGGCGCATTATTTTTGTAATAAGATCGGATTTATTTTCATAGACTTAAAATGATAAAATCAATAAATAACATTAACACGTGTCAAAGTTTAAAAACTAAACAAATGTTTATCCGGCAAAATACTGTAATGTCGTGGTAGTCTTATCAGAGTATTGGAAAAGAAATACAAAATGATCTAGAGTTCTTACTAGATGTATTCCCGGTGGACTGGTATCTTGGGCTATAGGAACGAGGTTCAACGGTTCGTATTCATCAGAGACACCGCTATCCGGAGAGTCTGGTACGTCAGCGTTATTCATGTAGCCAGTAGGGGATCTGCTTTTGTGAACACAGTAGTCACCTGTTAGTGGATTCTGATACGCCACCACGGTTCTGTAAATATCCAAGTGAAATTAGTTGATAAGTATCACTTTCTAATTTAAGACTAAGATTTGACTGATTTTATATTAATATTATTATAATTACAAAACTACATTTTAAAATATTATATATATATGTATTTTGTATCATAGATATATATCTATTATATTGCCAATTCTTAGACATTATTCTCTCTTATAAATTCCTTCTTCTTCTAAATCTTTACTCTTGGATACTATGTGTGAATATTTCCGTTTTTAAAATGAAAATAGTATACATTACAAATGGCGATTTGAGGTATGACATCGAGAACTACGATACGACGAAAAACCCAAACAGTTTTTCAAAATGGCCGAAAATATAATATTTAATAATGAAACTTGAAATGGCAATAATATAAAGGTGTGGAACTTTTTGTTTTATTAACTGTGTCAAAGTGAAATAACTTATATTATACCTTAACTGATCAGGCTCTCCTTCTTTCTTATGTGAAAATAATACTTTTGTGGGTTTTAGTAATATTGCTATCTGTAAGTGAAAATAAAGAAATTATTTATAGTCAAACTTACATATTTTTTTATTATATCTTTCTTTTTTCTACCTCTGTAGCTAAATGGTTAAACGTTATTGCCTAGCATTGTATTAAGCGCAGGGAGATCCTAGGTTCTAATCCCGAGGATTCAACTATTTTTTTTATTTCGACATTGGTTGAGATAACAACGTGTCCTACTTATCTGTAATATAGACCGATCAGTGAAACGGATATAGAAAAATGTTCGCCGTATGTCCCAAGGGGAGAAACGCGATTTAGCTCAGCAAGAGTTTTAGAAATTAATTCAACCAACCTGACCGCTTTGCCTTAGCCTGTGCACTCGGTATCCATAATAGCAACAAGTAAATATTATTAAAACTAACTGAAACAAGTTTAAATATACATATTTAAGTCGAAAAACTTTGATATTCTGGTAATGAGAAGTTTGAAACAAGTAAACATCAGTTCAATATCAGCTTAACTTAATTTGCAATACGTAAAAGCACCCCGATCCTCAAAGCTTTCAGTAACTCAGCGATAAAAAAAATAAGAAAATTTGCTATTATTATTATTTTTTTAACTTATATTAATGTCTAATATGAAAAGCTTATAAGAATATACTTTAGGAAAATATAAAGTCTGTTGTTTATTAAATAACTTTTACGGTTAAAAGTACGGTGTATTTTGGAATCCGAGGAATCCAAAATGTCGGGTCGGAGTAAAAACAAATATTTCACACTTAAATACGTTAAACATGTTTTATTTGCAAATTTGTTCTTTTAAATAAAACACTTGATTAAAACGCGTTTTAAACCGGTATTGCTTTATTTAAATGTGTACTACTCGCTTCTACTACAGACAGTAATTAATTTTGTTATTTATTACGCAAGCATAATTATTAAGGTAAATAACTTACCAGGATAACCAAAAGAATAATGTCTATATACACAATGATCATTATCAACACTAAACTAACAAAGATTATAATTATATAATATATAACTGAATATTTCTTAAACAACGTTAAAATTACACGTAAAAGGAACTTTTAAATAAATTCGAACACCAATTCTGTCTGTTCGCATTTTGTGGCTGAAGTTGTTTGAAGAACAGTAGGTCGCCATTGGTTGATATTATGAACGCTGGCTGCTGATTGGTCGATTTGTAACGTATTCTCTATATGAGCCAATTGGGTGCTGCTACGGTTTTGTACCGTCTCGTAAGCTTAGGCAAAGCATGTTAAAGTAGATGCACCACGCTGGTCCCTAAGCGCGTCTTTTATATTTTAAACACTGTTTTATATCTTACGTTCATATATATTACTATTATTTACTGAATGTCTATAGTTAATTATTGTGTAATAAATAAAATAAGTTTAATTGAATATCTAAATTTCCTCTCATGTATTCACTTGTTGCAAGATGTATCTTCATCATTTTCTCATCTATGACTGGCAGAGACTTTTGGCGCCACAGTTGGCGACGTCTGTCTGCGATCTGCAGATGAAATCATTTTCCCAATTCCAAGAAAATATATCAAGTAATTCGTAGTACATTATACTGTATAAAATCATTTTACAGAATCCATCAATATCGAGGAGGAATCGAAATTATATGTGAGGTATGTTTAAGAAAGATTAGGATTTTTATACAAAAAACTTATCAACAAAGTCGGGTGCAACATGATTAAATAGTTGTCTACCCTCCAATAGTTACTAAAGTTTATAATTAATATTGTTAAAAAATTCATGCATTTCATGATGCGAACACAGTTTTGGATTGTTACTTCTTATATATTTTTGGTAAAATTAATGTATGTTAACTTATTTTCTGCTAATCTAGGATACATTATCAATTGCACATTAAGCATAATGTAAGTCAATATTAAATAAAGTATTTAAAAAATCAAATCAATGACTGCAGTGGCAATATACAAAATAAATAAAACTATTAACATATTAATTTTTGTACACAAAACCCTTTTACACGAACACTGCGTAATAAATATACTATATAATCTCTTAAAAACAAGGTGAACATTAAATTATCTTTGTAGGAGCGACGATGAAACGTCTACTTAAATTACCAACACTTTTCGGGCTAAAAGCTCAACGGTGTGCAACAGAGTTCCGCGTCTGATAATCCTAAATTACTGAATAAAGCCGAAACACTCAGGGCTAGCTCTAGTAATTTAGTTAAAAAGGCCTTGATTAAATGCGGACCGCGCGTCTGGTGCGCATGACATGACACTGTGGGACACATTGAGTTCTAGAAGTACTAGATGTGACAGAATATTTGACGAAACAAAAAAAAACAAATGATATTCGCTATCCGGCGGCATACTTTGTTTTTATTCTTCTTTTTGCGGTTTTAGGCGATGTATTAACAATAATAAGTCAATACATTCTTGGTACTAAATTTTATTATTTTGTTAGTTTAACCGCCTCAATCAGAAATATATTAATATATATTTTAATAATTTAAAAGACACGCAAATTCGCTATTGGTTTGCGGCCACGACGGCTGCACAAACGTTTCGTTTAGCCTGTAACAATACAGTAGAAGTAGTCATCCTAGTAGTTGCTATTTAGCTATAAAGCCGCCGTTCGTCCCTAGTTTAATCAATTTAATTTTGTGTTTCTTGTTTTATGATAATAAAGAATATTTCTATCAAATATTGTCTGTAGTTGACGCGAGTAGTACACATTTAAATAAAACACTTTAACGGTTTAAAACGGTACATATATTAATTAAACTTATTTGCAAATTATTTTAACTACGGTCTGACGTTACGGTCGCTCTGCAGCGGTCGTGGTCACGGACGAGGACAGGTGATCATGACTGCTGCTAAGTTAAAGTGTTTTTTTTTTATATTGATATTTGTATGTTTGCACTGTTTAGTGTTAAGAATTATTTATGTTTATAATGCCACATCCAGTGACTGTATGTCAACGAAAACGCAGTTAATAGAGGAGCAATCAGCCATGTGGCGACCGCAACATCGGCTGTCGCTTGTAATAACATTTACCTATATCTACCTTACTATATCATATACAACCACTACATATTGTATTACTAATTCGTTACTTTGGTAATTTTCTTTAATTAATGCCATGCGATTCGCTTCATGGAAGCTGAAGTGAAACTTCTAAACAAGATGTGCTGTAGATGTATATTGGCTTTGGATAAACGAAATCCACAACTGTGATACAATTTCAACTTTTTTTATCTATGTGGCTCGTGGCCACAACAGGACAGTAGACGTAATCTTGACATTCATAGAAGTAATTTAAAACCAAGTTCTAAAAAAAACATTTCATTATATTTCTCAAGATTCGAATACACGACCACTCGTCGATCGCATTGCATTTTCAACTACGATGCAACTATGATCGCGCCTCTTTCGTCTATATTCCGTTATTGAAGCTTTAAGAGGAAATCTAAAACCTTATCTTGTCAAATCCTGTTTCTAACCATCACGATTCTTTGACTCTCTTAGAAATACAAATAACGACGTAAATTAACGTCACGCTGTGATTGGTCAATTGCGTATAATTAGAGTAATCTTACCTTGGAGGCTTACGAGAGACTCAGCTGGATCCCTCAGAGGGACCCCAGAGAGACGCAGAAATAGGATCAAACGTTTTATTTATAAGGTTAACTTGTATATAAGTTACATCTTTTCTGTGGTTATAAGAATAAAGCCTAATTATTTTTATTTTGTTTATGATAGAGGGTGACAGATAGCATGGAATTGACACGATGGAAGATGAAATACCTCAGCTATATAACATTTAAATGTGTTTATTAGGAGACAGAGATTTTAAGATTTTTCAACCGAACATTTAAGTGTGTATGAAAATAAACATAAACTTATATCTACTACACTTTTTTAAGCTATATATTCTTTTAGACGCTGAATGTTTTGATTTGTTTGAGCTGATGCCATTGTTTTAAAGTTGAGCAATGTCGCCACGGAACAAAGTTGAAAAATCGACTTTAAATTGAAAAAGAATTTACGACACGGCCTCGAACCAGTTGATTGGAGTAACATAGTGGAACGATGTGGAGTTCAAGTGTCCTGTGTAGTAATTTTTTTTTCAATCTACAGTCGATTTTAAATTTATATAACGTTGTTCCGTCTTTAAAAAAGAAACATTCAATTAGGTTTACTTATGATAGTGGAGAACAAGTAAGCACTCCAAAAAGAAGTAATCTAGTCCTGTAACATATAATGAAGATGCCCTTTCCGCCTATGTTGCCTTTGGAATGAGAACGGATTATTTTATATAATTATCTATCTATCTAATCGTTCTTCATTACCGTCATTATCAACTAAATAGCTCTAAACTCCATTAAACCTGCTCATTTTCCAATAACTTCCCTGAAGGGAAACCAAATACACGGTACAGAACATCGCGCATTAAAAGTCGAAACTGTTATTGTTCAATTTGTATGCAAATAGGAAAACTAATTAAACTAACTTCAATGATAATGAAAGAAGCCGCGGGGCACAATGCAATCGGTATTTATAAAATTGGCTCTGTAAAGCTAGCTGCACACTAGATGCGGTTAGATTATACGATTTCTTTAATGATAGAATTACAGTCTTTAAATTAAGAATTATATGTAGTTTATACGAGTAGTACAAATTTAACGGTTTAAAACGGGAAATGTATTAGTTAACTTATTTACAAAATACATCATAAAGACCCGCCGCGGTCACGGCAGCTGCAAGGCATCCGAAATTCCTTGCCGTGCATTGCGTCGGGTCGTACTTGAAATAAGTTGAAGAAAATTTTACTTAAACACTTCGCGTTTTAAGCCGTTAATATTGGTTTTATTAAATCTTTAAATTAGTAATTTATCACTGACATTAAGTGAGCATTACTATAAACACATTATTTCGGTCCATGGTTTAATGAAGCATATAAAACGAAATTTATGCTTTAAATAGGTCTTAAATTTGTAAATCACCAAAACATTATTAAAAATTAGTGTAAACATAAAATAGTCAAGTTAATGACATTGTCATATGACAACTAAGCGTGGCGTGTGAGCGGGATACTCAAAATTAATCTCTTGCAGCCGGTTTGAAATGCTTCATAATAAAAATACTTCGTTTTAAATATTTGCATAATATATACTGTTTAAACGCGATGTATATTAGTTAAACCCATTTGATTTAAAATTATTTCGGATGCTTATGCAGCCGTGGTCACGGGATACTGCTGCAAAGCATCTGAAATGTCGGGCCGTAGTTAAAATACTTTACAAACAAGTTTGACTAATATATCTTAGAAATGGGCGGAAAAATATACGTATAGCGATCTTCAATTTTATTTAAGAGACAAAAATGATATACATAAATTACACTTTCGTTTTTACTTCTCGATGGGGAGGGCAGAAAATCACGTCACTGTAACCATTCGGCAATTCACAGAAATGTATGGATTTTCCTTTTCTTTTTTAGAGACGTGGGTTTAGGTTATATATTCCTTCCACCCACATTTTCCAGACGAGGCGTCCATACGCTAGTCGTAAAGATTCCCCTTGGAACTTACAGACATCTACTTCAACGACGATATTATTTCTGTTTTTCATTTGTTTTATCAATTTTGTTGTACTATTTTAACTTCAATTTTCCGAATATCCCGAATGAAACAAGAAGCCTTTTATTAATGAAAATTATTCCTTTGTCTTATTATGAATTGGGGTCGTCTCCTATACACTAATCACTTATAAATGAATGAATAATTCAAAATGTATTTGATAAGTATTCGGGGAGTGAAAAGTACTTATTAATTTTCGAGTAACTTAAGATCAAAGAAGTCTTACTCAACGCAATATCATGAAATAGACTTACACTTTCGATAATATTTTCAAAGAAAAATGCTTTTCACAAAATTTATAGTAAAGGAAGTTTTACTTCCTTTACTTTACATTACACGTCATAATT